TCAATTTCAGTTGCTTCTTTTGGGGGGGAAATAGAAATTGTAAGTCAAATATCCATAATTTTATGTAGGTGTGTGACAGTAAATAGTCTACTGGAAGAAGAAAACATTCCCTTGCAGTGGTGCTTTGCTGCAGGATGCAAAAATAAGTCCACTGGAGGCCATTAATAGTGAAATTTGTTTCTGTGTTTTCCATCCATCCATCCAGCTCCCGAATACTTTGTTGTTGTGCTTTGAAGGGACGGAGGGAAATCAGCATTTGGGAAGGGGTGATTTCAGAGCATCCAGGAGCTGGGCACCCTCTTACCACCGGGACCTGCGGCTGTTTTCTGCCCTGCCCTCCTCCACTGCTTTCTTTGGCCAGTTCTGCCCCAAAGGTGGGTGGTCGGAGAAATCCTCTCTCTGCCTTGATACCTCCGTGGTGTGATGTCCAGACAGCAGCAGCAAAGGTCACCTCTGCAGAGCTATACCTGGCAGCTGGTGTAATTACGCGCCTGAATTCACATTCAGTGTTAGCAGAGATGATTTTATCTCCTAATGATGTTTTTCCCCTCCTAGAGTAGCCCCGCTCATCTCCTGGCCGAGGCCACCTCGCCCTCAGGACTTATTTTCCAACAGCAAAGCACAGGTGACGCTGTTACCAGGTGTTGAACCAGAGCATCGCTTTAGAGATGCTTTTTCATTCCAGTTTAAACTTAATTTTAGCGACATTTGCTAAGTTGTGATATAGCTCGGTGCTTGTAGGCCTAAAAATACTTTGTTTAGAAATGCAGGGGATGGCCTGCTGAAACCCTGGCCCTGCAAGCGCTGCATACGAGCGTGCCACACTACGCTGCAAAGGCGAGAAATCCCGGTGCGTTTGATGGAGCAACCGTTTTCTTAAGGTGTTCGCAGGATTAGGGCAGGTGGAGGTGCCTGCGATGTGAAACGCTCACTCTGGCATCAAGCCGGTGATCCGGTGTGCCCCCCGTTTTCGGCGTGGGGAATGAGAGCTGCCCGGAGTCACCCCATGGTGTGACAGCCAGGAAGGGAGACCAGGTCCCAGCGAGCAATCCAGAAAAACATATATTTTAACTCTCAGAATCTTGCCTTATGTTAATTGACTTACAAAAGCACAGAAATAGATGTTATTTAAAAAAAAAAAAAAAAAAGTCAGACCAGTCCAAGTGCTTTGAAACAGTATTTATTATTTTATAAATTCAAGCCCGGCGCTCTGTGGGAAGGTATGCAAGCGGATCACTACGGTATTCTCTTTGCATATTTTCCTGATGTTAGAGATGGTCTCAAAGAAGTATCGCATTGTTTCATTTCCCCTCCACACTTCATGGTTTTCTAAAAATAAAAGCTAATGTCAACAATCCTACAATAACGAATGAGTGAATGTGCACGTCCTGCACCCAATTAATTTTTTTTTTTGGTGAAAAGCAAGATTTAGCTGGTAATCACGTTATGAGCTATGGATAAAAATGTATCTTTTAAACCACCTCACTGATGGCTTTTTGCCTTTTTAAAATGTCGTGAATGAAGTTAGAGGCTGAAAATACTCTCACAAAGCAGAGACCAAGAAAAGTCACTTGAGGTGAGTAAACAAGTTGGCATTTTTTTAATGAAAGCCAAAAAAACGGCCCACTGCCGTGTTAAGGGTACCTTAAATACAGAGTCTCCTTCAGTGCTGACAGGCATCCCAAACACCTTTTGTAATAAAGCTCTAATTATAGCTTTGTGACTCCGTAGGTTCTCCGGATCAACTTGGGAATATTGCACTGAGAACCAGGGAGAATATTTATATTTTCTGCAACTGATGGGTGAACCAGATTTAGAGCTGGACCTGGTGAGCCTGGTACATAGCGATGTATTTATAGAGTATTACAGAGTTGTGCTTGCTGCTGCATGATACAGTTTTGGGGTTAAACTCTGTATTTTGGGAAATATTTCCCGAATGCATCACTGTGGATTCCTGAATCCAGACCCCAGCTGAGCCGGTTGGAAAAGGGTTCGGCTGGTGGCCAGCTCCTGCAGCCCATCACTCTCTCCTGACGTCTGACACTTGGATTAAAGCCCAGCACTCAGAACGAGGGACTTCGGTGAAAATCTCGGCTTTTTAAAGAAAAAAAGACCTCCAGAGCTTTGCGGTTACGGAGAAAAGCTGGAAAATGGGAATTCTTGGGCAGAGAGGGGTAGGGAGATGCCCTCCTCTCACCGCCCCGCGTTAGCCTGGTTATTTCCAAGTATCCCAGACTTGGAGCCGGTGCCGTGGCGTTTGGGGCTTGACTTATGGTTTTAGAAGTTGGCATGGCTGATACTGGCAAGTTGATTCTTTTCTCCTCGTTTATTTATTTCTTCCCCCCTTCATTTTAATACCGTCTCCTGGGAGATGCCAGCTGAAATGTATTCGTTGCTGAGATGTTTCTTTTCCCTTGCGTCGTGGGTGCTGGGTCCGGTTTGGCTGTGGTTTGTTTCTGGCACGGAAGGGCAGAGCAGCAGGACAGAAGAGCTGTGCTTGCCATTGGGTGCGCGTGCGTGTGTCCCTGCAAAGATACCCTGTAGGTGTTACACACTTGTGTTGTGGGCTCAGCCCCTCTTCCACAGAAACAGCAAAGCTCTCCATCCATGCCAACGGGGCTTGTCCTCCTCCGGTAGGACCTGCGCATCCCCGGGGCTTTGATGGACCTGCCTCGCCACGCTACTGAGTCAGCGTGGGGTTTTATTTCTGTTTATGTTTTCCTTGCAAGCTTAAGTCAGAGGTTTGTGAGACAGCTATTCTGATGGTTAGGGATAACGGTGGACAGCTTTCTGCTGGTGCAGAAGCTCTTGGAGACGTCTGGCACGTGCTAAGGGATAGGGAGAGACCGCAGGGGCAAGGATAGGGAGATGGGGGGGGTGAGGGAGAGCAGAGCAAGACCTCCTGCTTTTTTTTGGGGGGGGGGCAGGGTTAAGTGGCTAGATCGTGGACACATACCCTGTCTAGGCACGCAAAGCGTCCCCGTTCAGCTGAGCTCCAAGGTCCACGCTTCCAGCCACGTGGGACCTCTGTATCTCTGCTCCCACGCGTGTAGTTGAGCACTGGCTGAAGAGCGCAGTGGCACTGGGGACAGCCGCTCTCCCCTGCATTCGCAAAGCAGTTGCTCTGATGGTGCTTCCAGGGCTGAAGTTCACAGCGCGGTTCCCCCCCAAAATATTCAGAAGTCACCAGTTGCTGCAAAATCCTGAAGCTGGATCAAATCAAGTGATAATCCATCAAAGGTTCCTTCTGCTTGGCCATCAGTCCTTGAAAATCTGGATCGTGTTGCACTCCTGCTTGAGAGTTTTTTTCCAGAATTGTGTCTAGATGCTTACCTTTTTTTTTTTTCTCCTTTCCCCCAATGAAATCTGAGGCTCTCATGACCCCAAGAGCTGAAGCTTCTCCTAGCTGATGCTCCCAGCAAGAGCATCTTTTCTTTCTCCAAACATTTTGAAGCTCGTGATAAAATTGCGAGGCTTTGGCAATGCCAGTTTGGGTGCTGTTCGTGTGCCAAACCCTGCTGAATACGTCTTTTATCACAGATTTGTAACAGTAGCTGTTGGAGGGGGAGCTTCACAGGAGAAGTGCTTTCAGAAGAATGCTTTTATAAAGGAATACTGTCCTGAAAAAAAAAGTGCCTTGCAGGGGGGGAAAAAAAACCCAAGCCCAACATTTTTGTTTTGTTCATGTTGTAAAATTTGCCCATTAATTTGGGCAAATAAGGTTTTGCTTCCATTACTAGACAATTTTGTTTGTCTTCTTTGTACAAACGAGCACTATTGTGCTCCAGGCATTTTTTGGGGGGCAAAAAAAGACATTTAGGCTCTGACTAAGACATGCCAAAATCCTTGTTTTGTGTAACCGTCCCCAGGCTGAGCCCCAGCCAGGTCCCTGCAGGAGCTGGGATCGGGACCCAGCTGGCAGTTTGCTCAGACAGGGCGCGTTTGTAGCGGGAGGAGCAAACCGGGAAGACCAAAGATGGGTCCGTTCATCTGTTCCACCTCAAGTAGAAGGAGAGTTTAGGGAGCAGACAAGGCGGTAGGGTTTCTGAGCAGCGAATGTAGTAGTAAGGGAGGATGTATAGCCCCTGGGGGGGGCTGCGGTGCGCTCAGCTTTTGTGTCTGCTGTGGGTCCCACTGACCTTCCCTTTGTGTCCACTGTTGAGTTGAGCTGTTTCTGGTCTCTGCAAGAGCCGGGTGTTTCTCAATGGCAGAAACATAAAGCTTGTCCTCCCACACGTTTGCCTCACAATTAGAAATGATTTTCCTTTAAAAAAAGGATTTTTCACGGGAAAACCTGCTTTAAAATTACACTGGCGTCTGAAAGCGTTTTGGCTGCTGCGTTACAGCCAACACCTAAGGATGCTCTTGCTTAGCATCCCCCACCCCGAGGAGGGGGAGCGTGGCACTTTGCTCCATTTTCAGTTTTGGTTTGGATCGTCGTACGCTGTTCTTAAGTAGCCATTTACTCTCTTTCCCATTTCTTTGGCACAGAAGCAAGAGAACAAAACATTAGAAGAGGAATGTGATTATAATCCCGTAAAAATTGACAGAGGAATTTGGCAGTGGTTGCAGCCTGTGAATGTAATACACAATATTTTATTCATTTTTTAAAATGATTAGATTTCAAGCTGACAGTTAAATGACAAATCACCTTAAAAAGATATTGTGGACAGTGTAAAAACTGTCAGTGTGGTTTTTCTTTGCTAACTGTGAAGTTTGCAAGGTCCGTGCACCAAAAAAAAATAGGATCCTTTGGCTTTAGCCAAGCCGCGTGTGGAAGCTGAGCGTGATGAGGTCCCTTGTATTAATAATTTGTATTGTAATAGTATCGTCACTGCTGGCTCCCAGGCTTTTTTATACCTGAGCTAACAGCAGTGCTGCCTGTCCCAGCGTGCTCAGGGGGACTTCTTGGTCAAAGGGAATTTTTTTTTGAAAAAAACTTATTTTTTTGCTTTTGTTGTCCCCTTGCTCCCACAAACTGTTTGTGAACGGGACCAGTAATTGCAGCTGGAAGAGGCTGGAGATAAGGGCAGAGGAACTGTTCAGGTATGTTATTGAACGTATTGGCTGTTTAGATATGTTATTCAGCATGGAAAGCAGATCCCAGGGGACTGACAGAGTTCCCCATCCCAGAATATCCCAGCTCACAGCGGGAGCTGGAGCTAATGATGCAAAACCCTCCAGGCAGTGCAGGAACGGAGCCGCAGCTTCCCACGTCCTGCGGGATGCTGTAGGCTTGAGATTTTTGGACGAAAGGGAAACCAGTGCTCTTCTGTTTCAGCCAAACTGGATAATCACACAGATGATCAGAGCCCTGTTAGGCCTTGTGTAAAACATGTAACGAAGTGATGATTTCTGCTCTCAAATAATAGGTAGTAAAATTTGGATATTTCTGTCCCCTGTGGTCCTCAGAGCATCCTTGTGGGCAGCGAAATGAAAATGAGAGGAGTACGAGTCTGCTCTGTTGTTTCCTTGTCTTGGAGTGAGAAGCTGACTATCGTTTGCCAAGCTTTAATGCTCGATGCTGCGTATATGTCCCTTTTAAAATCCAACCTGAATAGGATTTAAAATTCTTAAAACTCTGCAATAGGAATTTTTAGCTTAACAAGAATATTCCATAATTCCTTCTCCTTGCGATGGAAAAAATGACTAAGGTAGACGTGAATTGGACCATGTCTCTATCTGCTTGTAAATTCTTAGAGATTGGGCATAAAACTCATCTCTCCTTAACTGAAAATAAACATCCCGGAGTAGATAGGTGTGTAGTGCAGAAGGCTGCGGGAAGGTGTCCTCTTCTGGTTCTGGCGGGAGAGAAGAGGTTGGCTGGAGGAGGTCCAGAGAGTTGTGACGAGATCGACTGGAGGTCTAGAAACCACTGTTTTGAACAAACCTGAGTTGTTTGGCTCCAGATAAGAGAAGAGGGAGGGAGGAAATACGTCTCCAGGTGCCTAAAAGGGAAGGTGGTGTTTGCTTTCTGCATTCACAGTGGATAGGGCAAGAGGTCACGGTCCTAAAATTGTAGAGAAAAAGTTCAGATTAAATATTGGGCAATGCTTTCCCTAAAAGTAACAACTAGATTTGACGGTCTGAAGAGCTTGTGGAGCATCAGTTGTTAGAAGGTGAAAATGGCTTGGAAATATCTTCCTAATATTTCGTGACGGTAATTCTTGTGCGATGAAGGTGCGGTTTATTCTTCCGCAAGTGGGAGTTGTCTCGATGCTTTCCTGTGCTCCCACATCGCTGGCATGGAGTGGTGAGGCTAGAAAGGGTTGTTTTCAGTCTAAAATAAGCAAGAGATGACGATTGATGTTCTGGGGCTTAAATTTTCAGGCACTTAAAAAGATTGAAGTGACTAAAGATAATATAAGTTTGCATGCCTCTCTACAAAAGCAGATGTTGGCTAGAAATATTTTATGCTCTTTGATTCTAAAATTGAATGTTATGGATGTTAAATTGTACGACTTGCCTCTCTCGATGATACAGCCTTTCCAGGACACTGGTTCACTTGAGTTGGAGGAGACGGAGAGGGGGCGTGAGTGATGTTGCCTTTAGTATGGCTATTTCTCTTTAAAGAAATATCAGTAAAGACAAGTTCCCAGCTCTGTGTAAATACTGGAGAAATAGAAACAGCCACTTTGGAGACCCTAAATGGTAACTTGTCAGTCCTTTAATTGTACCTTGGGAATGGGAACCTTTTTAAAACAGCGTCCCACATGCAGCGGAGCCTGCAGGACTGGGCGGTCTCTGCTGGGCTGTCTCGGGAGGTCCCACGTGGCCGAGAAGTGTTTCCTCCACGTGCATCCTTTGCAGGTCAGGACCGTGTTCTGCGGCGTCATCTGCACGCTCTTTCCTCCAAGAGTCTTACGAAAGATGCCAGTCTGACGCCAGCTTCCCTTTTTTTCTGTAGGGAACAACCGTTTATTATAGTCAAGAGCAGGGAGCAGATCTGTGCTATTGATTCGCAAACAAGGTGCAAAATCTCAGGCCAGGTAAGAGAGTTAGTTCCTCCTTGGCCGCAACTGTGCATCACTGCACATCACCTTTTTTGTTAGATCCACTAACATATCAACTCAGGTCTCAATGTATAAATGAGCTTTTTGCTCTTTACTAGAGATAGTGACCACCTTGAATCAACTTCAAGACCATCTGTGAGAGCTGCTAAGCCGTAACTGTTGTAAACTGGACCGCGACGCTCATTGAAGGGAACCGAAAGACTTGTTTTGTTGTGGGTGTTGGCACGCGGAGCAGCACGGTGAGGAAACCTTGCCGTGTTCTTGGCTTTTGGGGCAGAAGGTCCCATGGACCGCAGGAAGGTCCACATGGGCACCACAGGAAGGTGCCCGTCTCTGCCAAAGCCTGGAGTCTTGCAAAGTACCTGCACGGCTGAGCTATTTCCCAGTCCTGGGAACAGCAAGAAAAGGTGAAGCCTCCCCGAAAGCATCCCCTCTGGGGACCGGCGGGCAGGGGAATTTTCGTCTTTTTCCGTATCATTTTGCTCTTCCTCAGCCCGACCTCCAGTGGGGCAGAGTGCAGAGCCGGGCTTGGGGCTGCCTTGTCTGCTTCTGTGAGTATCAGGTTGAACCAGGCTTTGCTCTGCAAGGAGGCTTTGCTCTGGGACAGCCTTGTTCCCTTTCCAACTGCGTCAAAAAAAAAAAAACCAAACCCAAAAGAGAACAAGAAGAGAGCTAACAGCCGTTAAAAAAAAAAAAAAAAATCTGAGATGGGGTTGCCAGGTGAAAGGAAAACAGAATAATGTCTGTTCCTGAGGCTTTGCAGCAGTTTTGACTGTTAAATGTGTAGACCCTCAGTGGACCCCTGCACAGGGATGCTGCTGGGAGGCTGGCGTTTCTCCCTCCCTTTTCACGAGCCTGCTGTCCCAGCTGGTTCAGGCGTTACGGCTTTAAACCCTCAGGTATATGAGGATGTCTTATTCTCTGTTTCAAGTCTGATATTTGGGGAATATATTCTCCATTCTTGAACTGTTTGCAGGTTTTGAGCCACTCGGTCAAGCCTGAGGAAACCATAAGATTTGGAAAGGATGGCAGCGGAATGGTAATGATAATCAGTGACTCTGGCAGACAGTGGAAATCCCCGAGACAGAAGGACCCGAGTGTATCGTGGCTATCAGATGCTGGGATTTTAATATCTGAAAGAAGTTAGGGAAAAAAGCATGCCTTGGTCGTCCTTGTTGCTGTTCCACTTTCAGCGATAAGCAGCTGAACTGTTTGCGTGTGCTGCTCGGAGGAAACCCCAACCCCTGTCCCCTTGCCCCAGCTCTCTCCTATATTATTTTACTTGAAGCAGCAACTTCAGGCAATTCAAGGAGGAGGTGCCAGGGTAATAGTGGCTCACGGTGCCAAATTTGCAGAGGTTTTGGTCCGTATTTCAGAACAAGGTTTTGGGAAACTCAGATTTTTCTCTGCCTCCAGCTTAAGTTTCTATTTAAACCACCTTTAATTTCAGGAAGCGTGAAGCCGCTCAGACTGCTGTGATCAAGGTCACTCTTCTTAATTTAGGTACTCCAAGGATCATGAAATCTTGTTTGTTCAAGTCTTAGGCATATGTTGAATCCCTAAAGGAGCATGTGAATGATATTAAACCTACCGCAGCAGAGAGAGCTCGTATAATAAAGGGAGAGGAGCAGTAGTGTTACCGAAGGAGGAATGGCAGATAAGCAGCAGGGGCCATGCTGTTATCACTTCGTTTGGGAGATGGTAGTGTTGTGCAAGTTGTTATAGGACATTTACACAAATTGCTGGAATGAAAACCCACTCCATCAGCAGTCTAATATTTGTTTCTTATTATATGTTAAACTTTTTTTGGCATAGAAAACGTTATCACCTGTTATGTCAAGGTCCTGGCATTCAACACTGGGATCTTTCCAAGTGTGTTGAAACTGAATTGGTTCAGAATAAGCCTTCCCTTCATTTTAGGGGAGGGAAAAAAAGAAAAGCAAGGAAAAAAGAAAAAGCTGTGGCATCCAGCAGGCATTTAAAGCATTCTTTCTTGTTCTCTGAACTCTTGTGATTTGCCAGACTTGGGGCTGAATTTTCCTCCAGTTTTGTGCTTGCTTTGCATTTCCCGTGAATTAAATTGGGAAAATAATATACAGCAAATAACATACAGCAACCAGCACTGCGGGTCTGGGGGAAGCTTTGTCCAAGTGTGTCTCTGCAGCAGGGAGCGTCGGGACACCTGAGTGCTTAGCGAGGGAAAACTTTTATACGTCCTTCAACACTTGTCCAATTCCTTTGCCTTTTTTTTTTAAATTTTCTTTTCTTTTTTAACTCTGCTAGGGTTCGGTCTGTGCGGTTACAGCCAGAGTGGACGCCTCTTGTCTGCAGGATTTTGGATGGGGTCGGGGAGCACCTTCCCAAGTTGTAATGCATCTGTGCTAGTTATTTGGTTAAATCTCTCCATGCTGCTTATTTACTTATTTATTTTAATCAAAGAAACTCACTGGTTGTGAGCAAAGGGTATGGTCAGCGGGAGCCAACCTGAGAAGCAGATCAGTGGGGCTTTGGCAGGGGGACTTCAGCCTGAGCACACACGCTGGCTGAGGCACAGAGAGACTTGGGACGTGTTGCTGGGGGAGGAGAACCTGCCCTGGCCGCGTTCCGGCAGGAGCAGCAAACGAGCCTAAATTTTCCTTTACTCAGAAATCACAACATAATTTTCCTATTTTTCATCCTTGTTACGAGCTCTGGCTCACCTTTTTCCAGGGTGACTCTTTGTTTTTCAGTATGCTGTTTTCTCCCCCGGTCTGAACTTAATCCCAGAAATCCACTTGGCTGGTTATCCCTTTAGACGGTTAAGTTTAGAAATTATGAAATACATCGGGCTGGCTCTGCTGCTTCTCCGGGGATGAGGGAACAGGGACTGGACGGCAGCAGAGGAAAATGGAGGGGAGAGAGGAAGCCCACAGCTAAAAGCAAAGCTGGAGGTTATATATAGCTGCAGGCTGCGGCAGTGTCGGTCAGGGTGCTGTGATTGCTTCTTTAAATATGTTCTCGGCCATTGAGGTTTCCAGTCCTGCTAACGAACCAAGCCCATGAGCGGCGGCCGAGAGCCGGGGAGCAGCGTCCCTGGTTTCCAGCACTCTGCAGCTGGGAGGCTTTTACTTTTACTGGGTTGAGAGCAGCACGGCTGAGTGCTTGGCGATTTAATTCAGCAAACTTGGTTAACTTCTGATAAATGACATCTTTGCTAGTGGGGGGGTGGGGGGAATCAAAGATACGCGTTTTGGGATGCTTCAGCGAGGATGTACTGTGGGAGCACGGCGGGGTGGACAGCATGAGCTGGGAGACACCTTAAACTGATCAGTGTTTTATTTTTACTTTTAGCCTTTACTAACCAAGGGTCACCTTCTCCTTCGGAGGCACAGCAGTAATTTTTGGTGTAACGTCTTCTCTTCCAGCCCTGAATCCCGGCGCAGCTGAAGCGACTGCAGGCACTTTAAAGATGCACGCGAGCGTCGAGGAGGAACTGGAGAACGACAAGCCAAGGTCATGGTCCGTCGTGCAGGTAGGTCGCCGCTGCCACCTCAGGCTCCGCGTGCAGTGCGCACCATGCAGCTTTCTGTCTTACGTAGCTTGGGCAGAGTAATTTGGCGTATTTCAGTGTATTGCAGGTTTCTTCTATGAAGGCTGTTCTAGCCTGAGGGCTGAAATAAGTGGTCATGCAATGGTTTGCTCCGTTAACCTTTGAGCCCTGCTACGCTCCATGGTCAGTACAGGTCTTGGGTTATGCTCCCAGGACTCTCTGAGAAGGGGGTAGGTTTTTTTTTTTGCTTCTGAATGTCACGCCTGGGGCAGGACAGAGTTCGGATGTCCTGTGTGTTTGTACTCTTCTCCTGGCTGGTGCTCCTCTATCTTTGTGCTAGACCACTGATTTATTTTTTTCCCCACCCCTAAGAATCCATATAACTTAATAAATGTTCATCTGTCCCATCTTGTGGATGAGGGGTCAGGAGAGCGATGCATTTTCTCCTTGGCTTCTGTGGATGGAAGACGTGTGCTTGGAACTCTGCTTTTCCATTACGCCGTTCCAGATTTTTGAAGAAGAAATTGGGTCTCATACCAGAGCGAAGCCATTTTATTTGTAAGAAACGAAGCTCTATGGTTAAGCCTTAGTGAGCAGACTGGCGGGGAATTCATTCACCCAGTTCATGGCTGTGTGATAAATGACAGTGTCCCCATGGAAATGGGGATTTTCAAATCCTAAAGTGATTTCTACCCAGCTTGTGGCATGCCTGGAGACTGCTTGTTTCTAGACTTTATTAAATAATCAGCGTTGAGAGTACAACAACTGGACTGATGCTGTTTGCTGTAGCTTTCCTGACACGCTTCCAGTTCTGCAGGCTAAATCCAGTCTGTTAAACTGGTAGGAGTGAACTAACGGACCCTGCTGTAGCACGTGATGTGCTGGGATCCACGTGCACCCTCAGCCTCCGAGAGCGGTCCTCCTTGAAGCTGCCCCAATTCACTGCACACGAGGTGGGTCCTCAAACACCTTATGGCAGTAATCTTGCAAACGCAGCGAACGTTGTTGCTCTCTGGGTTGTCTTACCATTATAGATGGAGAA